CTGGGGCTCATAAGGGGCAAGGCTCGGGGGGGGGGACTCGAGGTGTCGAAGCTTTGAAATTCGAGGTCTTCGTGCGTTGTCATCGGTTCCCTGACGGCTTCCCAACCTCGGGATGCCTTCCAGCAGCTGCGCCTCGCCGAGGGGGCTCCGAGGGCGCCTGGATTGCCCCGAACGTCGCCAGAGGGCCGAGTTATGGCCCGAAAGGCAAGGGGCACCGATAGGGGGGGACCAGCTCAGGGGAAATCGTCAACCTGGAATCGGCGATAATATATATATAATATATATATAATATATATTATATGTATATATATATATATATATATATATATGTATATACATCGGGGTTAGATCGGCGATTGGCCCCCAGTAGCAAGGCCGCATATTCCTGGGCGGGCTGCTGTATCGGGACTATCAGCGATGACTGGGCGATGGGGAGTCGATGCGCCCCTCCTGAACTTTCCCCCTCTGACGTTGCCACCGAGCTTAGTTGCTCTACCAAGCGTTTGGTTGTTCTCTCCCGTTTTCTACTTCTCGCTCTTGGCTCCACCAAGGCGTGTTGGGAACGGCCCCCGAAGACGCAACAGCCACGTCGCCAGACGCGTATAAACACAGCCGATCTGCGAAACCAGCCAAAAAACATGCCCTCTGCGGTTTTTCAGCATTTCTGCGGCCTGGGGCCTGGCGGAGTTACTGATGACGAAAAACGAATGCGGCCTGGGGCCTGGCGGAGTTACTGAAAAACGAATGGAGGAGGAGGAGGAGGAGGAGGAGGAGGAGGAGGAAGATGAGGAGGAAGAGGAGGAGGATGAGGAGGAGATGGGAGGAGGAAACGGAGGGGAAGGAATTGTTAGACATCCACTGCATGGCTGCGCGTGGCCTCGTCTGGCTGCTCGCAAAAAAAAGCTGCTCGCCTCGCAGGGGAGGCGCCCCTTGAAATAGAGGCGACGTCAAGGGCCAAAACCAGAAAGAGATCACCTCTAGCTAGGTCGCGAAACTAGCTCGACGCACAGATGGCCAACCGCATGAGCAACCCCAGGAGAGGGAGACTTCCCACAGATGCGGGACGCCCGCAGCTGGCAGCCGTGGGTGTAGCGGGGCGCACGTCGAGACCAGCTACAGAGACCCACAGCGAGTGGCCTCTCACAGGCACATCAGGCCAAGGGGCTGGACTACACCTGGACGGGGGCCAAAGCAACGCGACGTGGCCGAGGCAACGTGCGCGCAAGACGAGATTAAACTGGAGTGCGGACGTGTGGCTCATTCCGTACCACGACACCTCGAAAGGCAAAACGGGGAGACCTGGACACGGACGAGCCAGCAGCCCAGCATCCATGGGAAATGGCGCAGCCTGTTTCGCGGTATCCTCGCCACATGCTAGACACCGCCTAGCGCGGCCACTCCGCCATTCAGCAGGCTTTGCAATACTGCACAAAGCACAAACACATTGAGCCGCAGGAGAAGAGACGCAAGAGAGGTTCAGGAAAGAGAGGTCACGCAAGACAACTTGGCGGGGCCGCCTCCCAAACGGCGATGGGGGCGCCTCCCGTAGATGCAAGGCATCGCCCATCCTGTGCAGCACCCGTGGATCACCATGGTACTGGCTCGACAGTCAGGTCCTTGCTCCTGGGATGCCGACCCTTGCAAATCTGTTTGACGGACTAAAGGATCAGGCCAGCTCAGTCGTGGGTTGGCCGAGCACCTTCGCGAATGCACGAACGTAACCCAGGGCGGCATAGGAATGGCATTTCAGACACTCTGTGGTGAAAAGAGCCATCCAGACCCAAACAAAACGTTGCTTCGTGAGTAAATACTCGAAGAAAGGGACCATCGAGCTATGATGCGTCTGAGCAGACTTCGCCAGCAGGGGCAAAATCCCCCCTCCCCTTACGTGCAACTGAACAGTCTTGACAACGGTGCCTCAAGACCACGTGAGCCCACGCATGAGGGCCCTTGGGACTCCCGGGGGACCAGTCGAGCCCAGAGGAAGCCACAACGGGGGCACACTGGCGGCCAGAGCGCACGCCGACTTGGACGCTTTCATCCGGAAGGCGAGTTGTGGTAGCCATCTTCTGAAGCACGGGGGTGGGCAGCGGCCTCGAGTTTCGCGGCCTCGTCAGCCTCGTCGTTCCCCCGTGCGCAGCCAGCGCTCTCGAGCAGAGATGCTCGCCTCAAGCGGGTCTAAATGCGCCTCGACCTGCGCGACCGACTCCACGAACCTCCCCCCCCCCGACCAGATGCAGCAGCATGAGCCCAGCAAAGGGTTTCTTATCGCTAAGCTGCACCTTGTTCGGACTGGCGCACTGCTGCACCACGCTTGCACAGCCTAAAAAGATTGGAGATATCTTCAACCTGCATGCCTCCACGTGCGACGCCAGCAATCCCGGCGTGCTGGGGGGTCTAGTGAAGCGAAGCGTAGACGGGCCCAATCAGCCTGGCGAGCCGTCGGCCGTCATCCTTCAGAACCACAAGCCCGTAGCGTATGTGAGAGAGCTCACTGATTCATGTCGGTAACAGCTGCCATCGACATAGTTTTTGCCGAGTGAATGTGCAACCTGCCTGGGGGGGGGGCTCGTCTCGAAACAACTGCGCCTGCACATCCCCTTTCTTCCTCGGCGGGCCTCAGGAAGGGGCCCCAAGGGTGGGGCAAGAGGCCCTTCGCATACAAAATAGCTTCCACTGGGTCGGACATATCTGCGCCGCCAGCGGCTTGCTGAATAAGATCAGGCCTCACAAGCTCTTCGCGCAGAGAAGCCGCGCGCGGACAGCGCCAAAAAATGTGGTGATGGCCCACTGCGTCTCCAGCCTGGCCGCAAGGAGGACGTGCGTTGCAAACCTGATAACCCGTTTTCTCCGCTCGATCGTACGTCGACAACGCCTCACACACCAAACACCTGGTAGAACATAGGTACGTCGTTACTGCACAATTGTGATGTGCACAATCGCGAACTTGTAAAAACACAACAGCTGATCGTTTGTGCGCAATGGGCTCGTCGCCGCCGGGGCCCGCAGATTCGGCGCGCAAGGCCGCTCGAGTGCTGAATCCGCGGGAGCAGCGCCGCAGAAGCGCGGGAGACGCGCCTCGGGCCCCCCAACCAAGTGGGTGGAGCGCGATAGGGAGAGCAGAAGGCACGGATTCGGCACGGAATCGGCCTTTGCGTGCCGAATCCGTAAGGCGCGGGAGACGCAGATTCGGCGCGCAATGGCCGATTCCATGCCGAATCTGCGCCTCCCGCGCTCCATCTTGCGCCCCCCCCCCGTTGGTTGTGGGCCCCAGGGCGCGGGAGACGCAGATTCGGCACGCAATGGCCGATTCCATGCCGAATCTGCGTCTCCCGCGCTCCTTCCGGCGCTCCCCCCGTTGGTTGGGGGCCCGGGGCGCGGGAGACGGATTCGGCTCGCAATGGCCGATTCTATGCCGAATCTGCGCCTCCCGCGCTCCATCTTGCGCCCCCCCCCCGTTGGTTGTGGGCCCCAGGGCGCGGGAGACGCAGATTCGGCACGCAATGGCCGATTCCATGCCGAATCTGCGTCTCCCGCGCTCCTTCCGGCGCTCCCCCCGTTGGTTGGGGGCCCGGGGCGCGGGAGACGGATTCGGCTCGCAATGGCCGATTCTATGCCGAATCTGCGTCTCCCGCGCTCCTTCCCGCGCTTCCCCCGTCGGTTGAAGGCGCCGAAGCGCGGGAAACGCAGATTCGTAACGCGATGGACGATTGCGTGCCGAATCTGCGTCTCCCGCGCCCCGGGGCACCTGACCAACGGGAGAAGTGCGGGAAGGAGCGTGGGGAACGCAGATTCGGCATGGAATCGGCCATTGCGTGCCGAATCTGTGTCTCCCGCGCTTCGGCGCTCCCAACCTACGGGGCCCCCAACCTACGGGGGAAGCGCGGGAGACGCAGACTCGGCATTGAATCGGCCATTGCGCGCCGAATATGCGCCCCCTGCGCTTCGGCGTCCCCAACCTGCGGGGGGGAGCGCGGGAGGGAGCGCGGGAGGGAGCGCGGGAGACGCAGATTCCTGTCTCTCTCTCTCTCTCTCTCTCTCTCTCTCTTTCTATCTATTGTATGCTCTCCTCTCTCTTCCTGGTCTCACCTTTCTTACTGCGTATACAAATTATCATGCTTGTGTATGGTTGTTTTTCGGTTTGTGTATTTTCAATTGTTGTTTGTACAAATTCAATTGTTGCTGCATGAGTACGCTCTACTTGTTGGTAGAACCTGTGCCTTATCATAGATTCTGCATGACCTGAACCTTAACCAGTTGCGAACCACATCAAGACACCTTGCTCCTAGTAGACCTCGACCTGTTGCGAACCAAATCAAAACCCACCCACGCACCCACACCCCACACCACCCACCCACCCCCACCCACCCACCCACCCACCACCCACCCACCCACCCACCACCACGCACCCACCCACCCACCCACCACCCACCCCACCCACCCACCCACCCACCCACCCACCCACCCACCCACCACACCACACCCACACCACACCCACACCCACACCACACCCACACCCACCACACCACACCCACACACACACACACACACACACACACACACACACACACACACACACACACACACACACGCATGCACGCACGCAATCACGCACGCACGCGCACACGCACGCACGCAGAGGAATAACCAACACCAGCTTCGCGGGCAGCTTCGCGCTCAAGACTACAGAGAGAGAGAGGCAGCGTGCAGCATCGTTTTTGGCATGGCTGGCGGAATACTGGTGAGCTGGAGAGATTCCCAAAAGTCGCTGGTACACGTTACCTACTCGGTCATCCTCCAGGTGATCCGCTTCAAAGAAAGCCGTAGAGTGGAGACGGGCCCCGACACTTCGCGCCGCGTGGGTTCAGGACGTTCGACCACAGCGTGCCAGCATTCGCGAAGCTGGGGCCAACTCAAAGAAAACTGCTACGGCTACGTCTGCAATGCCCACACCGCGTCGGCGTTGCAAACAGTTGGAGCGACAGCAGCTAACCGGACTG